CGGACTAGGTGCGTTTCTTTAAGTCTTCCTACCAATATGACCGAGTTGCGAAAACAAGGTCAAACCACTTGTTGTTTAGGTTGACTCAAAACCTATAAATCAATTATTTTTCCATTTATTTTCATCCATTAATCGAAAATATATAGTGGCAAGGCGGCCTATGCTTCGGGTGTAGAACTACTTCCTTTTGATTCTCTTCATGTCTCCTCTTCCTCGGCAGCACCGTCATCCAATGGTGCCTTCAAGCCCGCAAAAGTTGGTGCCAGTTATTTCATGTCATACCACACTGTGTTGCGTCAGCCAAGTGACTTCCTTGATGCTCTCATCTCGGGAAGACAATTGGCTGACGATGTGACTCGTATTTGGAGGACGCGCCGCAACCTGTCGGTTACCGATGGGAACTCTCAAATGGATTATCTGGAACCTGATAGTGTCTTTGCTTACAGGTGAATCCACTTGGACCTACTCCTCTTTAAATGTTTCTAGATTTCGTCCGCTTTCTATGTTGTACTCATCTGTATGAGCACAAACACAAGTGCTTAATCATTAAAACATGAACCTTTATATGCTGTGCTGCTAATCAGATCCTATTAACGCGTATCAACTTTCGAGTTTTCATGCAGTACAAAGATCAAATATTTTGCATTAATTTTATCAGTTTCAGAATTACAAAAGGTATGTAATTTAACTGGATGAGTTTTAGCGAGTCTAATCAATTTTGTACAAATGCATAATCAAGTAGGAGCGAATATATTAATAATATAAAATGATATTATCAATTTCGAGTTTATGCAAAATCCTCTATCTTAGGGAAGACCTAATTATTCTTTTATTAGTAGGTTAACTGGGTTTCGATGAATCTCCTGAATTGACATTATTGTTAGTATTTTAATTTCGTGTGCGACTACCTGATGAAACGATTCGTATTTCGATCTTACAAGAAGATTCCCGTTCTGCAATCATACTATTCTTTATTCCGACCTTCTGATTGACGCAGGCCACCAAGCATCTTTCTTTATCTCGGATTAAAAAAGGCTAAGCTTTCGTTTATCATATCACAGACCTCATCAGAGTTGGATATCATTCTTTCAAAAGTTTTGCTTTACAGGCTATATATACTCAACTAAAAATAAAAAAATATGTAGATAAAGATAAATATATATCGAAGGATTTTTTAAACGTTAATCTAAATAATTATGTCTAGGCTCGTATACGTCTCTGCACTAATTTAGGTCAGAGTACGAAACACCGGTCCTAACTCTGACGAAAAGCAGGAATGGAACCTACGTCAGGCTGGAATAATTAGCTGGGACATAAAACCACAAATCACAGCTCGTCATTCAAAGGTTAATATCCCAAAGTAAGGTATACCTGAGATTGCTTAATCTTGGTCATCTAGTTAAGTTAATGAGCCTAATATACGAACGTAAAGACAATTAGAATTGTCTCTGAACTGACTAGATAAGTCGCATTGTTTCTTATACGAAGAAAAGTTGGGTTTCGAGGAATCTCTTGTTTCATAATTGTTGGGATTACTTCCATTTC